CCTCCAGGATAAATGTCTACAACATTGTCCAGGAACGGGTTAATTAGGACAAACCAGGCAAATTCATTCCCTGGAAGTAACCAACTTGGGGATCAGAATGCATGCTTGTGATTCAAAGGGGGGCGGTGTCCCACAACGATGACCCAGTAGCAAATGATGGCTGGATGGTAGTAGTCACTGCTCACACTTTACTTTTTAAGTGAATGTCTTGTCAGCCTGAGAAACTAGAAGGTTATCATCATTCTCCGGCTCCATCATCTCTCTGTCCCAAAGGCTTTCCAAACTGGACCTTAAGGGAAAAGACTCTGAAACCTCTGCCCTTGAACTTGGCTCCAAATTCCGTGAACTCAGAATTGTCCCACATGTGGGTCACTGAAAGTCAGCTCATTTTCTTGATTGCTTTCAGGAACAGTTGAGTGAGATGAAAAACAGCAGAGGGGAGGCCTTGGCTGGAATCTCCTAGCCTGTGGTCTCCCTCCCCTTCAGGGCCCCTCCCCAGCTGTTATTCTCATTCATGCCTCATTGCATATAAATTAGCATTTGGGCTCCCTGCCTTTTGACACCAGGAAGATGGGCACTGGCCTTTCAGTTGCAGAATGTGGATTTCACATTGTGGTGCTACAGGGGAGGGGAGCTGTTTGGTGGACAGCGGGAGTCCAGGGACACAGCCCGGGTCCCACTCACTAGGACTCCAAGCCTTTTATTTTGCCAGTTAGGCGCTGCACGGCTTACTCTTAGAGAGCTCCACGGGAGGGCAGAGAACTTCAAACGTGCGGCGCTGGCCCGGCCCCCACCATTCTCCCAGGCACATCTTGGGCAAGTAGAGGCCTGCATTGGAGCCCTCGTGGGGAGAGCGCTCGACTCTCCACTCTTTTGCACTATGTGTTTTGTTGGCAACGGACCACACGGCTTGACTACCTCCCGTGCCTGCTTCTCGGGTAAAGTTTACTGGGCACCCACTGAACGTGGGCATCCGACCAAAGCCCCGAGCGCCCGTCTGGGCAGAATCGGCGAGTTCAGAGAATTTTTGTTGTTGTTGTTGTTGTTGCCCTGCCATTGATTCTGCCTGCCCACAGTTTGGAGAGGCGGAATAGAAGCCCTAGCAAACCGCGACCCGGCGCCTGGGCCATTCATTCCTTCTCTTTGAGGATTTCTTTGAGCCCAGCCCTGTTCTCACAGCCAGTTTACACCCCTTATCTGAGCCTGAGCGCCGAGGCCAGACAGAAGGCGGGATTGGCCGCGTCTTCGCGAGTCCATGACAATAGGGTAAAAAATCCCAAGTACAGATCAAAGCTTTCCTAGAACTGGGGCGGGGGTGGGGGGGGCGCCCAGCTAAGTGTTCGCGAGGTGGGGACCTCAGGGTTTGGAGTCGCCACCTTTTGGGAGGAGAAGAAAACACCAACGCGGGTTTGAATGGATTCTTGAGCAAAACCCCGGCCCCGGTGGACCACGACGAAGTCTAGCAAAAGGGCGTTGCGGTGTGGTGCAGGCGACGCACCAGGGCTAGCAGCAGGGGGCTCTCCACTCGGCCTGCGGCGGAAAGGCGGAGAGGGAGCCGAGCCGTCCCCCTCCCCTTCCAGAAGCAGAAACTGCAGCACGCACGGGTCAGACGCCCCAGGCTCGAGCTGCAGGAGGCTAGAGGGGCGACCGCCCCCCTCCCTACACCCGCCCCCCCGGCCCACCTCTGGCCGGTCAGCTCCGCAGGACGCGCCCACCCCCACCCCAGCGAGCGGGCGCCCGGGTCCGGTTGGGAACGGCTGCGGAGCCGGCAGCCCGAGGCGAAGGGTGGAGGTACCGTTTAATCACAGCTCGCCTCGCCTCTATTAACTTGTGTTGGTATTAAAAAGAAATCAATCAGTGCAAATGATGCCTTCAGCCGCGATTTCTTTTTTATCTCGTGGAAAAAAAAGAAAAGCACCGAGCCAGGCGGCGGGGGAGGGGAGAAGGGGACTCGCCGGCGACCGCAGAGGCTTCGGGCCGGGAGAGAACCGCAGCCGCGACCCAACTTGCCGGCACTGGGCCGCAGCGGCGAGGAAATGCCGCAAGCTTCTCCCCGGGGGTGTCCCGAGGCTGGAGGAAGAGGGGGGGGGGCGGGAGCTGGTGGCGGCCAACTTCCCCAAGGCTTGAGCCTGGGTTTTGCTTTCGCCGGGAAGGAATATTTTTGCCTAATAGAATGTTTATGGATCGCTCGGCTCTGTTTCTGCTGCGTAGCCCAAACAAATCGATGTGGCGCTAGAGACGGCGCGGGGGGAGGGGTTGGGGTTGGGGAAGGACTGGGCGGGGGTCCCCCACGTTCCCACCACGTGGACGCCCGCGCGCCGGGTGCTCTTCACCTGCTCCGGCGCACTGGCGCCCAGAGCGGCCAAGAGGTACAGGTAGCGCCCATTTCCGCAGCTCAAGCTTGCTCCTGGCCGCCTCTCAGCCCTCGGCTGGGAAATCCCACCTCGGCTTCCCGCTACCCGGCTCGGCCCGGTCTGCGCCCGGGTCTCCAGCCCCGCTAGTCCCGGGTCGCGTAAAGTTGGCTCTTGCCAGGCGCGGCGGCAGAGGGCATTTGGTGCAGAGAGGGGCTGGGGGAGGGGAGGGGAGACGGCGGGAGGGGACGCGCTGGGCCGCCCCCGCCGATGCCCAGGCCTGGGATGGAGTTGGGCAGGCGGCGGCGCTGCTACCTGGCGGGGCGACTGGAACCCGGTGCGCCCACGCGGCCTCCCCGCCGGCCGCCCGCACCGCGCGGCTGGGCCATGGGGTTATTTGCTCAATTGCTCTGCTGCTGCGCGCACCTTCCACCCTCCCTTTTGCCTTTCTCGGAAGCGGTTCCCGCCGCGGGGTGGCGGCGGCTGGGCCGGGCACCCAACCGGCCAGCGCTCACCCGGTGAGTCAGAGGTCTCCATAGGCCTCGCCCTTTTGCCACCCGCTGCCAGCTCCCCGGGTGCAAGTCGGTTGCGCTGGAGGAAAGACCAGTGACTTGCGATCGCCAGGGGTTGGGGGCAAGGGGTGGGGGCAGGCTGGTAATATTTGTCCCGGGCGGGTCCCAGTACCCCGACCGGCCTCAGCTGCCCTAGGCCTCGTGCTTGGGCACTTGCCCCGCACCTCTGGGTTTCTCTGGAAGTGACACCGCGCGGTCCGGGGTTGGGAATGGGTGGGGGTTCTGCAGAGAGCGCGGGAGGCAGGTGGCAGAGCGGAGTGGGTAGGAACGGGCGTCGCACTCACAGGCACACACACTCCACGCAGCGCTCGGGGACAGATGTGCGAACATCTGGGCTGGAGATAGCCCCTCTCAGTCTAAACGACCCCTCCTACTCCGCACAGTACATGAAACCTGAGGTTGTATGTGCTCGTGCGCTCCAGTGTGAGTGTATGTGTGTGTGTGTGCGCGCGTGCGCGCGTACCACTGTGCTCGCTCTCGCGCGCTCGGGCCTACCAAAGTCAGTTCCTGAATACATAATGTACCACGGGCACTCACACTGAGCGTGTACGCGCGCGCAGGCGAGTGCGCGAGACACACACACACACACACACACATCAAATCACACAAACATACATAATTTATGCAGCATCCAAGACTGTAATTTAATTTTGCTTCAAGCTGGGAATTTAGAATTAAGACAAGGGACATGTGAAGCGCAGGTTTGCAGCTGCCCTGCCCGAAGATGTTAGAGAGGGGGAGCTGCAAACTCAGGAGTGGGGTGGCTAGCGCATTCCAGACTCTTCTTCCCCTGAAATACTTGTGCTTAAGGTTGGTGTGTGCTTGTGCTAGGGGGTAAGAACTGGTATTCCACCAAGCACAAAGCTTCTCTTTAGTTATTAAACCAAGATCCCAGAACCCACTAACTCTAGTGACAGATGCCCAGGTGGCTGCAAGGGGTGAGCTGTACAGCCGAGGCAGAAATAGCTGGCTTCCTCATCCCTTATCACCTGTAGCAGCTACTAAGTGTTTTGTCAAATTCAATCAGAAGGGAGAACATGTTGCCGATTGTTCTCAGAGGGGTGAGAGGCGCATCCTGGAGTGTGGTCATAGGAAGGAAGGAGACCCACTGGATCCCCTGAAGGCAGATAACCCTTCTCCTGGAGTGTGCTCCTTGCCACTCCCAAGGACTAGCGGCCCCAGACTGATCTGGGCCTCAGGAGCTTATCTCTGCAGCCTGTCCACACACCCTTCTTGGCAGTGGTGGAGAACAAATTCCACTCAAAACTTTCTAACCACTTCACAAGAGGGAGAGAACCTTAGAGGGCCAAGCAGTTTGCTTTAATAATCATTTCTAAAAGAATATATGATTTAGTTTCCCAGAAAACACATGGATGCCGGCAAGAGAGCAGGGGCCACTAGCCGCCTTGGTCACTAGAATCACCCAGCCTAAAGCTCCTGCCTCTGCTACAAACTCACTCCATTCTCTCAGCCCTGTGGATGATTTTTTTTTTTTGGGGGGGGTGTCATATCCAGTATCCACCACTCTACAAAGAATCTACAGCATTAGAAACCCAAGCTAGTCTCTTGTCTTTCCCAAGCCCTTCAGTTAACATTGGCCAATGTAGCTAAGTGGAGGGAATGCAAATGATTTATTTTTCACTGGCTAGGTTGAGAGAACTCCAGGGAGATGTGTTCTGCTTCAATACAGGGGAGGGGGAAATCCCCAAAACTGTAATGCAGAGGCTTTGTAGTATTTTTAAACCTTTGATTCAGTCCATATGTGACATCTGAACACCGCCAAAATCTGCCTATGTTTCAAAACACACGCGCACGCGCGCGCGCGCGCGCACACACACACACACACAACACACACACTCACACTCCTAACAGGAGAGAAAAGTTGGGTTTGCACTGCCATGGTGGTACAGGAGGGCTGGTGGCGATCTCACCTTAAATTATTGAGTATTGAGGGAGCCTGCTTAAGAGCTGTGCCGCGTCGCCCCCTGCATTTGCGGTCTCTTGTAAAGGAATAGCATGCTGAAATGAACAGAAGATGGTAAGAAAAAAACAAAACCCCAAACTTTCAGACGCTTACCTGCTTGGCCTCTCACTTCGTGTCCAGAGAAGTAGAGTACTAAGAAAACCCAGGAGAGAGGAAACATATCCATTTTGGAGAAGGCGCTGGATTTGTAGGCTTCTTGTAAAATTAAGTCTGCGGAGGTGGGGGGGTTTCCCCCTCCCTCTCTGGTCTTTTCTTTTCTTCCTTCCAATATCTTCTGCAAATGTTTCTAATGGTCAGCGCTTTCCTCTTGGGTCCCCAGGGCCCGCCTTCACCTTTTTCCTGGCCGGAATACCGTCCGCGCCAGAGGAAGGGTAGCGCTCCTGAAATCAGCAGAGGGAACCAGCCGAGAAGCGGGAAAGGGTTCCTCTCTTAAGGACAAAACGCATCTATGTCTTCTTCAGTTCCTCAAAGTGTCATTTCCTTTATCCTACAACATCACGGATATATTTCCCCAAAGCCGAGCGTAAAAATAACAAAAAGAATAGCCAAGACTTGCCGTGGGCATCACACGGCCCCCGGGCAGCTGTGCGATCTCAGAGGCGCAAACTGACACACGTCTCCCGGCACCTGGGACAGACACGCGGGCGGAGGCACTGACCGACCGACGGTTCTGGTGGCAAGCGGCCGCGCAGCTCCTACCCTCGCCGGGTTTCCCTAGCGGGAGCCTCCCCCGGCAGCTACAACCGCTGTGGTCAGCCTCTCGAGGGGAGCTTGGGGAAGGAAGCTGCTGTTGCTGGCTGGCTCCTGGCTGCTGCTGCTGCTGTTGGGGCGGCGGCGGGGATCGCCCCGAGCGAGCGAGCCCCTCTCCGAGTTCGCCGGCGCCCGCCCTCACCTCCACCTCGCCCAGCGCTCCGCCGAGTGTCTGCGCGGCGGAGGACGTGCTAGGGGCGGGCTGCGGGCTGCTGCCTCGCTCGCCTCCTCTGCCTCCCCGCGGGCTCCCCCCTGCCTTTTCAGGCCGAGCAGCATGTGGATGTCAGCGCCGCGGCAGAGCTATCCGATTACGCGCCGGCTCAGGGCCCGCCCCTTCTGTGTTCCTGATTAAAGAGGCAGCCGCGG